GGTCTGAACCAGCAGGGCTCTTCTTATGTTCCTTACAAGCCCATCTGGGCTATTCTTTTTTTTTTCTTTTTTTTTTAAGCCATTCCCGAAAGCTGCTTTGTGGCTACAGGGAACCCATGCTGGGTCTGGCGAATCTGGATCCAACTCCTTAAAAATTTGAATGTCTAGCTGAGTGCTATGAACTATAATCAGCACTGGAATCATGCTGACTGATTCAAGGGAAAGCAATCTAACTGCTGGTAAGCCACAGGTAATTCATTTACTTAAAGTTTTACAGCACCTTTGAATCAAAAATTCTAGGTGTTGTCGAATACAGGGTTTGCATTTATTAAGCCTCGAGGTCCCATTCCTAGCATCTCCAGTTAAAAAGATCTCAGAAAATAGGCAGTCTTTCCTGACTTCAAGGCCTGGGCGTACATAGCATTGGGTTTGATGGACCGACAAAGAGTATAAAGCAATTTGAGAGTCAGCGTGGTGTAATGATCCAAGTACTGGACTGAGAACTAGACGGTTGTTCATAATTGTGGTATTTGCTCTAGTTCTAGTATTCGGCCCTCTAAACAACAAGCAAATCAATCAGGAACATCAATGTGGTAGCTCCTCCTGACTTGAAGGCCTGGGTGTACATAGCATTGGGTTCGATAAAGCAATTTGAGCCAAGTGCTGGACTGGGAACTAGACATTTGTTCATAATTGTGGTGTTTGCTCTAGTTCTAGTATCCTGCCCTCTAAACAACAAGCAAATCACAATCAGGAACATCAATGTGGTAGCTCCTCAGATGGGTACTTTAAATATGAAACTGAAGTGTGGAATGGCTTGGACTTCAGCAGAGTTTTGGACCTTGAGAGTAGCCACCAATAACATTCTTCTACATACCCCTCCCTGTTTTTACCCAAGGCATGGAGGATGTTGTCAGAAAGGTAACTCCCAACATCCCATAGCATTGGTGTTAGAACACAGACAGCAGGCAGTCTCTGAGTCATAATAAGCCAATGACTTATCGTGGCCCTTTCTTACATGCCCAGGGAAATGCCAATTGCCACTTTGGGGTCAGGAAGCAATTTTCCCCAGGCCAGTTTGGCCAGGGATCCGGGGTGGGTGGGTTGCTCTCTTCTAGGCATGGAGCAGGGGTCAATGGGAGTGTGCCGGGGGGGGGGGGGGGGGGGGTGTGCATTTCCTGCATTGTGCAGGGGGCTGGACCAGATGACCCTGGAGGTCCCTTCCAACTGTATGATTCTATGATTCTCTGACTTACGGTGTCGGAGAACCACAGGAGGTTCGATTCTGAGTAATAGGTGAACATTCCGTAGATGGGATTCAGGAGCTCCTTCAGCAGCAGAAGGAAGAATTCCTTTGTGACTCCACCGGCATCAACAGCTTCCTCACCATCAAAGATCACCTGATGCAGTGTAAAAAAAATATATTGTCTTTAGCAATGACCATGTCTTAGCCTGAGTCCTGCATTAAGGGTTAGGGTCAAAACAGATAGGATGGAGATCTCGGACTGCCGTCTTATTAAAGGTAAGTTGCTAATAAAAGCACAGAAAGCCTGATTTCAGTTACCAAATCAGAGCGTGGGCCACAGAGTTAAATTTAAACAAGATTAAAACAATAAAACAATAAAAGTGCCAAGATTAAAACAAGATAGGATGGAGATCACGGACTGCCATCTTATTAAAGGCAAGTTGCTAATAAAAGCACAGAAAGCCTGGTTTCAGTTACCAAATCAGAGCGTGGGCCACAGAGTTAAATCTCCTCTTCCTTTCTCATGCAGCTCACAATAAAATTTCAGTCTCTTCACGATAGGATCTTTGCTCCCAAGACTCCACAGCTTAGAGGGAGCATTGGTTGAGCATTGAGGGAGGTCTGTGCCCTCTGCTATGCCTGTTTTGACTGACAGAGAGGACGGAACAGGAATAATTTCTGTACTGCAACAGGATCATTTGTTTGTTGTTCAGTCGCACAGTCGAGTCCGACTCTTCACAATCCCATGGACTAGCTCCCGCCAGGCTTTCCTGTCTTCCGCCGTCCTCTGAAGTTGGCTCAATTTCATGTTTGTTGCATCGATGACACTGTCTAACCATCTCATCCTTTGCCATCCCCGTCTTCGTTGACCTTCAATCTTTCCCAGCATCAGGGTCTTCTCCAGTGAGTGCTCCCTTCTCATTTGGTGGCCAAAGTATTTGAGCTTCAATTTCATTATCTGGCCTTCCAGGGAACAGTCAGGGTTGATTTCTTTTAGGATTGACTGATTTGATCTTCTTGCAGTCCAAGGGACTCTCAAGAGTCTTCTCCAGCACCATAGTCCAAAAGAATCTATTATTCGGCGCTCGGCCTTCCTTATAGTCCAACTCTCGCAGCCATACATGACTACTGGGAATACCATTGCTTGGACCATGCGTATTTTTGTTGGCAGGGTGATGTCTCTACTTTTTATCATGCTGTTTAGTTTCCTCCCAAGGAGCAGGAACGTGAAGTCTGTCGCTACTTCCACGACTTCCCCTTCTATTTGCCAAGGAGTGATGGGGCTGGATGCCATGATCTTAGTTTTTTTGATGTTGAACTTCAAGCCCACTTTTGCACTCTCCTCTTTTACCCAGCAGTTGAGAGAACCAGTGTGGTGTACTGGTCAGAGCGGTGGACTAGACTCTGGGTCACAGGTGTTCAAATTGCCCATCAATCATCATAACAAACCATAATTTGTACAAACTGCAGTTAAGAAATTATCTGACAAAGGGAGCTCTAACTCATGAAAGTTTATACCCCAAAATTATTGTTGGTCTCTAAGGTGCTACTAGGGGCTGCGGTGGCTCAGTGGGTACTTGGGCAATAATGCTTTGCCCCGACTGGAAGGTCGGTAGTTCAGCAGTCCGAGACCCGAGTGCCGCATGACGGAGGGAGCTCCCGTCTCTGGCCCCAGCTCCTGCCAACCTAGCAGTTCAAAAGCAAGTAGATAGATAGGTATCGCTTTGGTGGGAAGGTAACAGCATTCAATGAGCCTCGGCGTCTAGTCATGCCAGTCACATGACAACGGAAACGTCTTTGGACAGTGCTGGCTCTTCGGCTGGGGAATGGAGATGAGCACCGCCCCCTAGAGTCAGATTCGACTGGCTTTTGAGCAAGGTAAACCTTTACCTTTAAGGTGCTACTGGACTCAGAGCACACTGTTCCACTGCAAACCAATACGGCTGTCCCCTGAAATGGTCTTCAAACCCTAGCTGAAAATCCTAGCTTGACACCAGCCAACCAACCGGGTTTCTTAAACTAACTGCAGTCAGACGTCACAGCTAAGCAGGTTTTGTGGTCAAGCCAGTTTGTATGCCACTGTTTACCACGCTGTCTGAACAGAGCCACAAATACAACTCCCACAAAAAACAATTTGGGAAATAAGAAACTGACAAGGTCTTACCTTCAAAGGCTTCTTCAAGTCAACATCTGAATGGATGCTCAACTCCCTCAGGGCATCGCCAACCAAGTTGCTCCTACGGACGTGAAGAACAAGGAAAGGGCTTCGTGCCAGGAGGGGCTCCAGAGTAAGAAGCATAAAAACATTCTGCAAATTCGCTCCACTGATGGCCACCTACAACACAGAGACGGAGCAACTGTGAACAAGGGGGACTTGGGCAGTTTTTCTTAGTTTCTTCCCACCCTTTCTGCCTGCAAACCCCCCCCCCCGTCTCTTCCCACTGTCCATACAAAAAAAGGGGGGGTGAAGGGGGTTGATTATTAACCAACTGTAAAGGTAAAGGTAAAGGTTTCCCTTGCTCGAAAGCCAGTCGAATCTGACTCTAGGGTTGCGGTGCTCATCTCCGTTTCAAAGCCAAAGAGCCAGCGCTGTCCGAAGACGTTTCCATGGTCATGTGGCCGGCATGACTAAACACCAAGGCGCACGGAACGCTGTTACCTTCCCACCGGAGTGGTACCTATTTATCTACTTGCAATTTCTTGCTTTTGAACTGTTAGGTTGGCAGGAGCTGGAACTAGAGACGGGAGCTCCCTCCGTCATGCGGCACCCTGGGTCTCGAACTGCTGAACTACCGACCTTCCACAGCCTGCAGTTCAGCATCTTAACCACTTGAGCCAACTGAGTCAGTCTCAAAAGCAAGGGACAAGAGCATTGCCCATGAAGGGTATAAATGAGGTCTGAAGTGGCAGAGCTTTAAAGTGGAAAGTTATCTCCTTGGTTCACCGTTCTTTTACTGACTGGCATGACCAGTGTAAAGCTGCCTGATCTTCCTCTTCACCACACAGACCCAAATTCACTCCGCCATTTCATTTCTAGAGCTAACCATTGTTAATCTGACATTTGACCCACAGACTTCACCAGCTGTGCATAGCTCAAACCACAGATTGCAAACCTGTTTCCTACCACAGTTTGCAAACTGTGGTTTGGAACATTGAAAAGAAAAGAAAAGGATCTTTCAAGGAGGAAGTGACCTCAGTCTTCCTTAAGGAGAAGAAATCTTCTCTAGGCACTGTATTGCTATGGGCACTATACTGGCCAATAGCTATACTGATCTGATCTGGATACTATATTGGCCAATATTTACATTGATTTGATCTAGGCACTAAATTGGCCAATATCTAGCCTATTTTTGCTGAGCAAGGATAGCAACTGTTCAGATCCAAGGAATCCTGGATGGAATCCTCTTGCTCCTGCAGAGTGCAGGGGGTTGGACTAGATGACCTGCAAGGTCCCTTCCATCTCTAACATTCTATGATTCTATGAAATGACTACTCGGACCCAATCCAACTGGGGTACAAAACTGCAAATATCTCGACTTGGATCCAGGGCAAATCTTTGCTAAAGGAAGGCATTTCTGTCAGTGAATTAGACTTCTTTGCCTCTTGCTTTCCACTGCGGCCCAAAAGGCTCTACAGAATGCTGCTCTTAAAAGTCAGAGACTCTCAAGAACTGCTTGAGGGGCAAATGTTTTTTACTGCATTTGGTTTCATATTTTTTTTTTAGCGGCCTCAAGGCAGTCTAGAGAAACAGCACACAAATTTTCTAAATAAATAATCCTTTGCTCTAACCTCTTGGGAAGGGGTTTTCTCTTTAAGTGAAAAAATCTGATGTAAGAAATTTGCTTCAGTGTGACTGTAGTGTGGTTTTACTATGATTCCTGTTGCTGTCGGATTTATTTGTAAATATTTTACATTGTATTGATGGGATCTGGGGGGGGTTGTATTATTTCCCCCTTTGCAAGTTGCTCCAAGGTTATTGTAAGGAAGTGCACAGAAATTATAATTTCTTTTTCCCCCTAATCTAGTCTAGCATCTTAACCATGGTTGGAAGATTAAGCGACATTACATCAGGAGTGGCCAGTGGACCAGGGAGAAACCTGGGCTGCATATATCCCCCTTAGTTGTATCATTCCACACACACACCCCACCGAAAACCCAGAAGTAAGAATAGCATGTCAAGGGACTGATGGTTGTGAAAACCAGCCTTGCTGACAATCCACTTAACTGGGAAGCTGGGTCAACTCCTGCACTCCACATCCCATCCCCAAAGCAGTTGCCCCATAAAACTAGTTACAGATCAGGGTACTCTCTTCACACCTTCTAACCTTCCGATTATTTGGGAATAATTTGACTGGAAGCAGAAAAGAGTTTATCTATTCCTTCCAAAAGTCTCCCATCACTACAAAATAGGAAGGGGAGGGGGGAATACCATGTGTCTCCCCATGTAGGACTTTGTGGGAGAGATCCATTATCCAAAACCACCAGGGTCCCAGAATCCTGTTTGGAGATCTTTCCCGTAAAACGCACATCGCAATCTCATTGTGCTATAGCAATGTCCACATGCAGACTTGTGAATGGATTTCTCTCAGGGGGAAAGTTACATCAGAAGTAGCCATTAAGTCCCTCAGTAGCTAGTCTTGGAGCTGCAGTGGCTCAAGTGGTTAATACGCTGAGCTGCAGGCTGTGGAAGGTCAGTAGTTCAGCAGTTCGAGACCTGAGTGTGCCGCATGACGGAGTGAGCTCCTGTCTCTAGTTCCAGCTCCTGCCAACCTAGCAGTTCGAAAGCAAGAAATTGCAAGTAGATAAATAGGTACCACTTTGGTGGGAAGGTAACAGCGTTCCATGCGTCTTGGTGTTTAGTCATGCCGGCCACATGACAAAAAGAGCCGTGACATGACCACAGAAACGTCTTCGGACAGCGCTGGCTCTTCAGCTTTGAAACGGAGATGAGCACCACAACCCTAGAGTCGGACTCAACTGGCTTTCGAGCAAGGGAAACCTTTACCTTTTTAGCTAGTCTTTGCATTAGCACCATCTACTGGAAACACTTGAGACCTGATCTCCCAAAATACCATTTTGAAAGGGTCTCCCCCAACCTCATGTCAGCAAAAAAGAGATAGTAATGTAAATAAACAAAAGAGAAAAAGGAAAAGCCAACCAAAAGAGCTTAACACTGAGAGCAGTCTGTCTTGTTCTGAAGGGTTTTTTTGGGGGGGGGGTTGCATTCTTTTTCTTCCTTAACTGTTGTTTATTTAAATAAGGTATTTTTGTAAGCCACTCTGTGTCCCTATCAGGGTAATAAATTATCCAAATACATAAACAAATAAGAGTCCACTCAAGGGAGGGAGGAGAGGAAAGACCAGCCTGCTAAAAACCCCTGAGAACTTTGAATCCTGGAGGAAAGGCTCTGGCAGAAACGTCTCCACGGTACAGGGAGTTGCTCCTTCTACACATGCACAATACATCAAACAGAAGTATTCAGCGAGAGAAAGGCTTGCCAGTGCCTGAATTAGCTATGCAATAAATACAGCGCTTTTCCTAAGAGCTGAGCAGGCTGCAACATTTAAAAAAAAACCTCAGCAGTCCTTACATCAGCCCTGTATCACAGGCTGGCAGTATGACACCCATTTTACAGATGGGAAGAGGCTGAAACAAAGTCATTGCCCAAGATCTTCCAGCAAACACACTGCTGAGCCAAAATTTGATTTGAATTCCCAATTCTGCACCCACCATATGACACAGATGCTGCATTTCCCCCCAGAAGCACCAACTATTCCACTATTTTATAACTGCTAGATTGAATACACAGCTGCGGGTCAGAGAAAACCTGTAAGCTGTGAAAAGTCATGACTGTGCAAGAAAAGCCAGGGCCGGGTGGGCAGAATGCCGGAGAGCCGGTTACCTGCATCTGCAGCTCAGCATCTGTCTGCAGCATTTTTGTCTTGGCTTGGGCATCAAAGATGAAAGGATAAGAGCACAGGGTCACGGCATCCTGGAAAGGAGGAGGAGGAGCGATTCAGTTAAACAGTGCCGGTCAGGCATCGGCTGGACGCTATTTGGGCAAAAGTGAGCCAGGATCTTTTTTACCTGCATGATCGACGGCCGCACTTTCTGCAAATGGGAGGAGAAAGAACAAAAAATATGTGAGCTTTCAATTAGATGGCTTTGCGGAGGTCTACTTTGCAACCTGCAGCCCACGCTCTCAAAAACAAGAGAGAGCCCAAGAGGAAAGGTTTCTTCCTCCCATATCTTACACCCTCCTGTACTTTCACCTTGGCAGTTTGAAAGGTCTCCTCTTTTCTTTTTCATCCTCTGCACGGACACACTCTTCTCCTAAGGCCCCATTTCTCTAACACCTCCACTTCCCCAGCCTCTTGGACCATCTTGCCTCTTTGGCCCAGGGAGCTCCTCCGACACCTTCTGCCAACAGGCACATTCTCTTCTACCAGATACGCTAGCCTCCTCCACCTCCTTGATCCTCCAAGGACACCTGGGCAGTGGATGCAGTTCTCCTTTCCCCCATTTTATCCTCACAACAACCCTATGAGGTAGGTTAGGTTTATGCTGAGAGAGTGCAACTGGCCCAAGACTCTCCCAGTGTCCCCAGTTTGGCATAGTGGTTAAGAGCACGGGTTCCCCACTCCTCCACATGCAGCCAGCTGGTGTGAC